TGAGGACTCGAATATGACCTCAGGCGATAGCCCTTGTTTGCAATGATGGCTCGGGCTCTCTCTCTCCATAGTTTTCTTCATGAATTATATCGCCTGGAATGTTCAAGGAGCAGACTCTAGTCGATTCCGTAGAGCCTTCTCGACACTTATGACGCAACACCAGCCTGATGTGGTGGCTTTGTTTGAACCAAGGATTAGTGGTGCGAACGCCGATACTTTTATTCGTCGATCAGGATATCCTAGATCTTTCCGAGTAGAGGCATCCGGGTTCTCGGGAGGGATTTGGGTTTTGTGGAGAGAGAGAGCCAAGGTGACTGTCCTTCAATGTCACAAACAGTTTGTTCATCTCCGTGTCAAGATAGATGATCGCGAGTCCCTGATCACTTTCATTTATGCCTCACCTAACCAATGTGGCTGACGGGTATTGTGGGACCGGTTACATACCCTGGCTTCCTCCATTCGGGACCCGTGGTTGATCGGTGGGGACTTTAACTGCATCCTGCGTCCCTCAGAGAGAGTTGGCGGCTCGCCTAATGGTGGTAGAGCCTCTGAGGCGTTCTCGGAATGGATTTTCGACCATGGACTTCACGAAGTCAAGACGGATGGCACTAAATTCACATGGCGTAGAGGCGCTCTGTCTCAAAAACTGGACCGTTTTATTTGCAACGAGCTTTGGTTGGATAAGTTCCCGGAGGCTTTTGTTCTCCATGCGTCGAGATTACAATCGGATCACAACCCCCTCGTTGTTCGGTGTTCGCCGAGACGGCATGCCACTCGAGGACCGAAACCCTTTCGGTTCTTAGCTCCGTGGCTACTACATGACGGATTCCAAGATATTGTTGCGGGCTGCTGGGCGAGGTCCACAAACTTCATGGATGCAGCTAGGTCTTTCTCTAGTGCAGCAAGTGAGTGGAACTTTCGAGTATTTGGTAATATCTTCACCAAGAAGAAGAATCTACTAGCCCGAATTGGGGGCATTCAACGACTACCACATTTTCGTCGAACGACTCGGCTAGTGCAATTGGAAAAGGCTTTGACGGCTGAACTGGAGGAGATCCTCCTCCAAGAAGAAGTCCTCATGATCCAAAAGTCGAACCGTAATTGGTCTCTCTTTGGGGACCGCAATACCACCTTCTACCACCGACAAGTTAAAGCAAGACGCCGTAAAAATAGAATTGTCGCACTGCGAGACGCCGCGAATAACTTGATTACAGACCCGAAGGAATTACAAGGCATGGCTGTTGATTATTTTAAATCCATTTATGCTGTCCACCGGCCAGGTCCTTTGGCTAGACCCACGGAATCCGGATTTCCGGACTTACACCCTCAGGCCCGATTCCTTCTAGATAGAGACGTGTCCGAGGAGGAGATTAATAGAGCTCTCAAGGAAATGGACTCGCTTAAAGCACCGGGTGCTGATGGGCTCAACGCGCTGTTCTTTAAGAGTCAATGGGAGCGCGTCGGGCCTTCCGTGTGCAGCTTGCTCAAGTCGATTTTCCAGGGAGGTGATATGTCGGCTGGTCTCAACCGGACCCTCCTCGTCCTCATTCCCAAGTGCGACCAGCCTCAAACAATTAAACAATTTCGCCCCATAAGCCTTTTAAACGTGGCTTACAAGCTATTGATGAAGGTGTTAGCCAATAGGATGAAGCCGTTTCTTCCAGGCTTGATCGGACAGGCCCAATCCAGTTTCATCCCGGGCCGCCAGATCCATGACAGTATCATTGTGGCCCAAGAACTCATCATTCTATGAAAACCAAAATGGGCAGCACGGGGTTCATGGTAGTAAAAGTTGATCTGGAAAAGGCGTACGATTTCCTACGTTGGGACTTCTTCGAGAATACTCTCCTCATGGCGGGATTCCCATTACGCTTCGTGAACATCATCATGAAATGTCTCACTACGGCATCCATGCAGATTCTCTGGAACGGAGCCCCGAGTGAGTCTTTCCATCCGTCTCGTGGGGTGCGCCAAGGGGACCCTATATCTCTCTATTTATTTGTGCTTTGCATTGAACGACTAGCACATAGCATCCAAAGTGAAGTTCGTACCGGCCAGTGGAAACCGCTAAGCATAGGGCGTGGCCAAGTTAAAATTCCGTATTTGTTATTTGCGGATGATCTTCTCCTCTTTTGGAGGCTTCGACTGTCCAGGTGCATACGCTAAAGAAGGTTCTTGCCAGCTTTTGCCGACACTCCGGATTGAAGGTGAGCGACGCAAAAACTAACATCTTCTTCTCGAAGAATGTTCCCTTGGACAAAAAACAGGCTCTCTCGAACTTAATGGGGTTTACTAGGGTGGAGGACCTTGGATACTATTTGGGTGTCCCGATCTTACATAGCCGAATCAAAGGGCAAACGTATGAAAAGTTGATTGAAAAGGCGGATGCTCGGCTATCTGGTTGGAAAGCGGCGTCTCTGTCTATGGCTGGAAGAGTGGTCTTGTCTCAAGCGGTGGTCAGCGCATTACCGTACTATACCATGCAGTCGGCCCTTTTGCCTAACTCCATATCAGCGGGGCTTGAGAAACGTATCAGACGAATTATCTGGGGGGGCTCCGAGGACAAACGAAAGCTTAGCCTAGTTAAATGGGAGGAGGTCTATTTGCCGAAGGCTCTCGGAGGTTTGGGCGTCAAACGGCAGCGGGTGATGAACGAGGCTTTGCTTATGAAAATTGGTTGGAAATTCCTCACCGACCAAAATTCACTATGGGCGCGTATCTGGAAGGTCAAGTATGGGAACATTCTTTTTGAGGATATGGCGGGCCACCGAAAACCAAGTTCGGGAATTATATAAGTTGTTCACAAAATCTGGAAGCACGTTGGTAGTGGTGCGCAATGGGCTATACGTAATGGAGCGACGGTTAAATTCTGGACGGATAAATGGCTAAATCCCAACATCACCCTCCAACAAGTCGCGA